GACAGAATGAGAGACAGAGAATGAGAGAGAGACAGAGAGAATGAGAGACAGAGAGAGACAGAGGTGGAGAGAGAGAAATAGAGGAGAGAGAATGAGAGACAGACACAGAGAGAGAGATAGAGGGAGCAGAGAGACAGAGACAGAGAAAGACAGAGAAACAAACAGAGACAGAGAGAGGCAGAGAGGGAGAGAAACAGAGGAGAGAGAATGAGAGACAGACACAGAGAGAGAGATGGGGGGAGAGAGAGAGAAAGAGAGAGAGAGACAGACAGACAGAGACAGAATGAGAGTGAGAGAGAATGAGAGACAGAATGAGAGAAAGAGAGAGAGAATGAGACAGAGACACACAGAGAGAGACAAAGACAGAGATAGAGACAAACAGAAAGAGACAGAGACAGACAGACAGACAGAGAGACAAACAGACAGACAGACAGAGACAGAGAAACAGAGAGAGATCGAGAAACAGAGACAGAGATAGACAGACAGAGACAAAGAGAGAGACAGAGAGAGACAGAGACAGTGAGAGAAAGACACAGACACAGAAAGACCGAGAGAGACAGAATGAGAGAAAGCGACACAAAGACAGAGAGATACAGAGACAGAGAGACAAAGAGAGACAGAAAGACAGAGAGATGAAGAGAGATGTCTAGAGAGAGAATTAGACAGAGTAAGACAGAGCGAGATAGAGACAGAGAGACAGATGGAGAGACACAGAGAGATAGACACAGACAGAAAGAAAAAGAGGGAGACAGAGAGATGGAGAAGCAGAGACAGACACAAAGACAGAGACAAAAAGAGACAGATTGAGACAGAGAGAAATAGAGAGAGATGGGGAGAAACAGAGAGACAGAGAGAAACAGAGACAGAGACAAAGAGAGATGGAGAGAGACAGAGGTAGAGACAGAGAGACAGATAAAGAGATAGAGACAGGAATAGAGAGAGATAGACTCTTGTAGGGAGAGAAGAAAGGATCTTTCTGTCTTTCTCTTTCTCTGTCTGTCTCTCTGTCTCTGTCTCTGTCTCTCTTCCTCCCAACTATCTATGATATATAGAGGCTACTGACCCAGAGGGAGGCACCCCATCCAGGAATCCAAGAAATCTTCGACTCAAGAGCACCTCAGACCCAATGGAGGGAGCAGAGACACACACTCCAGACAGACCGGACACTCCAGATGTGTCCTTTGGCAATTGAGAATCAGGCTGTGCAGTGGAGAAGACCCTGCACCAGCCCCCCCCCCCCCCCCCCCCCCCCAGGACTCGATGCAGAAGGAGAGGTTCTCCAGGCCTTTCGGTCCCAGAGCCGTGATCCACCCTGGTCAGCCACCCTTGCCTGGCATGGTTACATCGTGAGCCCTGACTCTTAGTCTGCTCCTCCCCCTTGGAGGCTGTGTGCACTTATGGGAGAGTGTGCCCAGGTATATGGTAGGAGATGTTTTGTGGCAGCTGTTCTTAACTCTGTCCCCCTAGTAAAGGCCTTTGCTGGGAGCTCACTGTGTCTACAGCTGACTGAGAATGAGAAACTCACTGCTGAGCAGGGAACCTGCAGGGTGATCACTAGAACTCCGCTTAGCAGCTTCGACCCAGCCTGGGAGTACAGGTGAAGGGGAAGGCATGGGGGCTGTGTACTACATAACCACAAACTATCTGGGCATCTTAGAACCTTAGGCATCACATCTAATCCAACTCTCTCATTTGACAGAGCAGGAAATAAGCCCCAGAGAGAGAAAGAGAGAGAGAGAGAGAGAGAGAGAGAGAGAGAGAGAGAGAGAGAGAGAGAGAGAGAGAGAGAGAGAGAGAGGAAGGGGCCGCCTGGTCACCCAGCAAGTCAGGGGTCGAATTGGAACCAGATTCCCAGGTGGATTTCGGCTCTAGGATTCTTTGACTATATCTTTCCCTAGTCTAGCTTTTGATCCCCTTCAGGAAGGGGACCTCTCTATCCAAGCTAGGGAGACTGGTCATCTCTGTGTTCTGGGGGCACAGGGAACTTCTCTTTGGATTTGGGATAGAAAGAGCCTTGAACTGGAGTGGAAAATACCCTCCCGGCCTTAGAGTCAAGAAAAGCCAGGGCCAGCTGCACTGGGCTTGGTCTGGCCGTCAAAAAGCATTGATGGATTGTTGGGTGCCTAGGCTACAAGAAAAGGCGGCCACTGCGATCAGGCAGCTCACATTCTAATAGAGAAGCCGAGATACAAAGTAACTTGTACATACAGGTGTGAATGAAAGGAGATGCACAGGAAAGGCACTGGGTGGGAAGTAGAGGTGAGAAAAGCTTCCTGAAGACAATGGGATTTAAGCTGATGTGAAGGAAGCTGAGGGATCTCAGAGTTAAGGGGAAGGGCCAGAGCATTCCGGGTCAAGGGGACAGACAGTGAATAGACATGGAATTTGGGGGATGGTGTGTCTGTCTTCGAGAAACAGCACGGAAGGTCAATGCCACTGGCTCTTGGAGCACACGGAAGGGAGTGAAGAATAAGATGACCAGAAGGGGAAGGAGGGGCCAGGTTGGATGAGTAGGGCTTTTAACTCCAAAAGATTTGGGATTTGATCCTGCAGGTGACCAGGAGTCCTGAAGTTTATTGAGTAGGACGATGGTGAGGGGGACAGACCTGTGTTTTTTAAAATACAGATCTTTGCAGTCTGGGGGATAGATCTTTTCTGTGTCACGGGGATAGATTGGAGCGGAGGAAGATTTTCTTTCATCATCTTTTATCTCGGAGAGAAGAGTGGCTTGGGGCAGAGAGATGACCTCAGGCTATAGTAATAGTTCAGAGAGGAGTGATGGAGGGCTACCAGGGTGATGGCAGCGTTAGACCAGAGAAGGAGACATAGACGAGAGATGGATGAAGGCAGGTGTGCAAAGGTGACAGATGGGTGATGAGGAGGGGAGGGTATGAGCAAGGAGCAGAGGTCACCACACCGAGGGGAGCCTACTGACTGGGAAGGATGGTCGAGAAGAGAGAAGGTTTTGGGGGGAAAGATAAGAGTCCTGGTTTTGGACTTGGTGAGTGGGAGAACTTGTTCAGGTTAGCCAGCTCGAGGTGTCCACAATGCAATGTGGATATGCCAAGGTGTTCTAGCTCAGAGGCAGTGATTAGGACTGATGCATAGAACTGGGAGTCATTGACATGGAGACCGTGGGTGACCTCATGCAAATCCCTTCAGTCTCCTCCTCTGTAAAATGGGAAAGGCTATGCTGGACCAATGAATCAAACAACAAATCAATCAAGAACCATTTATAAAGTGCCTACTGTGGTACCAGGCACCATGGAAGGTACTGGGAATACAATATATATGAACAGTCTCTGCCCTCAAAGTATTTACATTCTACTGGGCAGAAAAAAATCTGTGCAAAAAAAAAAAAATCCAGAGGTGGAAGGTGGTGCGTGGATAGAGGGACCTGGAGTCAGAAGCCTCATCTTCCCAAGTTCAAATCCAGCCTGACATTTACTAGCTGTGTGACCCTGGGCAAGTCACTTTCCCCTGTCTGCCTCAATTTTCTCATCTGTAAAATGAGCTGGAGAAGGAAATGGCAAACCACTCCAGTGTCTTTCTTTGCCAAGAAAATCCCAAATGGGGTCACCAAGGGTCTGAAATGACTGAAACAAAGTGGACAAAAAAAAAAGCTACATACAGGATAAATTGGAAATAATCCCTCTGTGGATGACACTAGAATTAAGAAGGATTGGGAAAGGCTTCCTGTTGAAGGTGGGATTTTACTTGGGACCTGAAGGAAGCCAAGGAAGTCAGCAGGTGGGGTTTTATGTTGTTTCATTTTTTAGCCAACATATTTATACAACACTTACTATGCGTCAGGAACTTTGCTAAGCCCTTTACAATGATTTTCCCTTTTGATCCTCACAACTCTGGGAGACATAGGTGCTATAATTATTATCTCCATTTCACAGATGAGGGAACTGAGGCAAACAGTTTAAGTGACTTGCCCAGGGTTACACAGCTAGTGAGTATCTGAGGCTGGATTTGAACTCAGCTCTATTCTAGGCATAAGGGACAACCAGTGAAAATGCCCAGAGGTGGGAGGGAGGAGTGCCGTGTGTGAGGAACTTAGGAACAATGTTACGGGATCTCAGAGTCCTTGGGGAGTGGTTAGGGTAGAAGAAGGCTGGAAAGGTAGGATGGGGGCCAGATAGTGAAGGGCAGGATTTTTAGTTGATCCTGGAGGTGATAGGTAGCTACTGGGACTTCTTGAGCTGGGGAGTGCCGAGGGGCAGAACTGTGCTTGACGGGTAAGATGACCCCAGGGTAAGATGACCCCAGGATCCCTTCTGGCAGTCTCTGTGGGACCCTGGGCAAGTCGCTTCCTTGGGCCTCAGTCTCCCCATCTGAAACAATGGCTGGAAGGCGGGACTCAATGCTCTCATCCCCCAGGCACTGCATCTCAGCATTCCGGGTACCAATTCTGGGTACCGCCGGAATCCCTTCCCTAGCCCGCCCTACTCCTGTCCTGACTGGCACCAGAAGCGACCAATAAACGAGAGAGAAAGGAGGGGAGGCGGTCCTGAAGTCTGCACAGTTGAAGAACCTTCGGGTACCAGTGGTTCTCCAGACTGGCAGTCCTTTTCACCAATTAGAAGAAAGCACGGCAGGCCGCAGGGTGGGGCTCAGGGAGAGTTGGGGCAAGGGGGTGGGGGGAAAGCAGGATCAAGCAGCGCCTGCGCAGTGAGAGAATCTGGTTACTAAACCCGGAGGGTGGGGATTTCTTGGGATGGGCGGAGGAGATCACCAATAGAAGCCCGGTAATGCAACGCACGGGGACCAATGGAAAGAGAGCAGTAGGGGAAGGGGCCGAAGGAGAAAGTGACGCAGACGGAAAAGCCTACCGGAACTCCTCCCTTTCTCTAGGGTCACCCAAGAGGCCGGCCTAGGAGGCCGAACTTAGCTAGACGGGTTGTTAATTTATCCAATAGAAATCTGGTATGACGCACTCCTTCGCCAATGAAAAATAAGCAGGGTTTTTCCTGCTTGGGGGCAGAGTTCCTTCGCTTGGGCGCCCGCAGCGACCAATGAGACTCTGGAAGCTCACTCCCTTCGGCCAATGAGCAGTGGGAAGACGTCGCCGAAGGGCGGGGCTCAGCAAGCGGCAGTTGAACGGCGGACCTGGAGGCGGGTGACGCTGGGGGTTGGAGTGTTGGGGGTGAGGGGCGCAGGGTCGGGAGGGGACATCGGGGTTCCCGAGGCTCGGGATGCTGGTCGGCGGAGGCCGACGACGGGGCTGAGGCGGGGCAGCTTGGGATAGTTAATCTGGGGCTCGGCAGGGCGGGCGACCCAAGGGCAGGGCTTGATGGGGTAGTCGTCAATACAGCAGGTCCCCGCTCCTCTCCAGCAGGACCCCGCTCCTCTATAGCA